GTGATCCCATATTCCGTTCTCTGCCTTCTCTCCCAGTTGAACGGTCTCCTCTGTCTTTCTTCTCGCCGATTCTTCTCCCCTCTCACTCTTCTTTCTGCAACTCTTGTGTTAGGTCGCCAGCGAGAAGCTATCCTCCTCTCCCCCTCGCTGCTTCATTGCGCCTTACCTCACCTGCACCTTCTCAGGTATTTCTCTTTATCTCCGGAGTGGCGAGAGTGCCGCGCTTGCGAAATCCCAGAAGTCTGTTGCCCGCCATGCGCGCACGCTGCGCTATGCAGCCGCCTCGTGGCATGCCACCGATGCAACCGAGTAAGGGAGCTATCAGCCTTCAACATCGTAACCCTTGGAAAAGCTTCGTTACGTTCGATACGATCCCCTTCACTTTCCACGAAAAGTTGAACCACTTTCCAAACAGAAGAAGACGCCTTCCAAGGCATTTCTCATACCTTTCTCTCGATGATGTTGCGGTGCATTAATCGCCATGGAGTGTACCAGTCATGATAATCGGTGGATTCGAATATTTAAACGGAACCGAGCCGCTGAATGGTAACTTGAACATCAAAAATCAGTCGAACTAATAGCCGGACCAGTTGGCAGAACAAGTTCTCGACCCGACTCGAGTCGCAAGTGTCTAGACGTCTCCTAGTCGTTCCACTAGTCGAAAGTCCAACTTGTAATTAATAGAATTCATATTACTTGTTTCTCTTCCTTCTTCGAACCATAGCCTCGTGCTGCTAGCCTGTAAAAGTCAAAATGACGAAGACGATGCTGTAGTTGATGTTTCGAAAAAAAAGAAAAAGAAAAAAAAAAAGAATGCGAAGTAACAGGATAGCAAGGATCCTTCTAAGCTAGCCAGTCACGACTAGACATTGTTGCAAATACGAAGAGGGTTATCGTGTCAATCGGGGTGCCAGTAGAACTTTAGCCGCATATTTGTCACGGTGCCGCGTCATAGCCAATTTCTCTTCGGTAGTCATGAATTCCTAATGCAAGCTAAATTCAGTCGTGTTGCGAGTTCGGTTTCTCTTTTCCTCCTTCATCCCTGGTTACGTAACTTGGCCTGTTATCCGTCTCTAAAACCGCGTGAAACGCCTTATTTGGAATATTTCGTAGGTACCGGGTAATTCGATTATCGTTGATCGGCGGGTAATCTGGCGAGGTACAATATAAAGGATGGCCGGGGCCAACGAATACGGGCCACGAGAAAGCATTGTTGCGTATTAGATTTCTGGTTGGGAATACTTTGATCGGACATTCCCAGACAAAGGATCTAGAACTGAAAGTCTACGCGCGATATAGACAACGGCCGCGATCTGCGCGCGGAGCTATCATTCGTCTATTCGTTATTATTCTTCTAAATTCCATTAAGATTCAGGTTAGTCAGACGCTCCCCAAAATTCGTTTCTCACGAAGTCCAACATGCGGACTTGATATCTCGTTGGAAATGCCACGAACGAGCATGTGGCCAAACTGCGGGGGTGTTTCGATCGAGACGAATCGATGATCCCCCAACCGATCACCGTTAACATTCCGCAAGATGCAATTGTGCAAAAGGTAACGATCGGTTTTCTTTCCGTGTGGAATGCCGCGGAGAAGGTGCATTCTGAGCGCACCCACCGAGAACGCGACGTGAACCAACGCGTCGCGCGACGCAACAAGGACAATGATACAGGCTACGATATAGAAATTTACCGAGTACGCGAATGATTGCGCGGATCGGTGGTGAGATTGCCATTGCTCCGCCGTAGAAGAAGGAGCGAGGATGATCGCGATAAAGAAACAATCGAACTGCGTCCCGCCCACGGGTCCGCCAACATTCAATTGTGCTTTTTCCCTCTCTTTCCTTGGCTGTTCTCTCTTTTTGCTCAAACCACAGACACGTTGTTCTACTCTTAACGGTACAACCCCCGTAGAGACTGGCTCATCGAGTTTACTGTCCCAAACAATTTAAGTCGTTCGATCAGTTCGGTAACAGGTAGACCTGTTTTTTTTTTTTTTTTTCTTGTGACGTAAGTGGTAATATAGTGGTAGTGTAGTAGCTCGGGCATCGAGAAAGAGAAAGAGAGAGACCGATAAGAAGGGAAAGATCGAATCAGATGAGCAACAAAGAAGGATCGTGGTTCAGATGCAACTTCTAACTAGATGTTACGCAACCTAGGAACCAGATTGGACGATCGAAAACGGAGAAACATTGCCATCCTAGCGAGTTTCTTGTTTCATTTTACTATGAGATAACATAACTAGGGAGAGTAGAATTAATGAAGGACATGATACGATTACATTTTTTCAGATTGTTTGAACGAACGAATGAAATCGTGACGGAAGGTATCTACAACCCATTTTTCTTCAATTCAATAGTCACCACCCTAGCAATGCAAGTTTCTGTAAAATGACAAATTAAACTGACCTGTCATGAACTATTCACAAACGACAAAGGATTTCGCATCCGTTATCAATTTAGTATAAAGAGAAAGTTTTTTATGACAGACTATTTCCCCTTCGTGCAAACAGGTTTCCCAACGACCTTGTGGCCGGAGAACAAGGGGCGACAGGTGTCGAAACACCCTCCTGCTTCTCCATTTAAACGCATCTATCAGTGACCTAACAAGAAACGTCGATAGTTAAACGAAGGGGAACGTTCTTCATCGGCCTTCTAGTTGTTCTTCATCATTATCATCATCCTCCTCGTCCCCGTCCTCTCACCCCGACGGCTCTTCCGCCGCGATGAGACTTTCGAAATCGACTAGTCGCGTTCGATTCGTGCCACTCGCTCGCTCACGGAGCATCGGCGTTTTCCGCGACGTGCAAAGGTCACCGCAACAGGCCACGGCACAGCTACGCTCTCGGGAAAGAAGACGCGAGTCACCGGCGCGTACTCTTACGAGGGGAGGTCAGGTAAGGTAACTGGTAACCCGGGTCTTCCCTCTTGCCTCTCACCTTCGCGTTTTATGTTGCAAACTAGTACTCGTCTTTAGTAATACTCGGTGGTACTGAGCGTACAAGCTTCTAGAAATCGTGCAGATACTCGAGGGAGTAGTGTCTGATCGTTCGGATCCGGTTACTTTCAAATTTTCAGCCAGCTTACACTCTGAAAATTGAACTTAATAAGAAAAAAAAGAAAAACGCTCAAGGAAGATGTTCAATTCGAAAGTAATAAAAAAAATGCGAGACGATTTAATTAATTGCTCATTTTAACAAGAATGTTTCCTTCGATAATCGGTTATCACATCTTTCAATGTTTGTTATTTGTCCTATCTTATTGAAGTAATTCTACACATTCACGAGATTCTTTTAATTTCAAGAATTGAAGAATTTTAAAAAAGTAAAAATATTAGAAAGCGTGTAAAGTATTCGTGATGATAAGTCTCGAGAGGTTGCTTTACCCTCGACGAATAACCGCACTCGTTGTTTATCGGAGCAATGATGAGCTCGTGAAAGAGGGAGGATAGGAAACGAAGAAGAAATGGTGCTATATCGCGATACAATCATCGCTCATTGGAACGACGATGAATCTGCATTATTCAAAGACACAGTGAATAGAATATGCCATGGCAACGAGCCTCTTATACGTAACATAAAGTCGGCATCGTCATCTTCATCCTAAGCTACATTCTAACCATTTTGCAACCCCCCGCTGACCTGACGCCTTTTTCGATACCGATTACTGCGCCGATCGCACATTCATGATATAAACAACAGCTAGGAAAGGCTCTTTGATGTGGTACGAACGCGTGGGAACGCCTTCCAGATACATCGAAGTCTTTTCTTTTCAATCCTTCCCACGTTTCAGCAACGATGAATTTTATAAATATTTGCCCTTCGACAATGCGTCAAAAGCATTTCAATAAAAGTGGAGTGTTTTATGATGAATCTTGTACCGGTTCACATATAGCGTTAGCTGTTTCTGTAAAAATGAAAATTAATTGTAAATATAGAACAGAGGAAAAGAAGTATTAAATAAGAGCTTAAGTATATCGTACCGATTTCTACGGAAATTTACGCGCAACAGCCGTATACCATGTAAAATATGAAACTGGTGTATCGTGTAGGATTGGTGATACCGGTGCAACAACTTTCTAGAGTATAGCGGAGCCAAAAAAGAACAACCGATACCAATGATGGTGGGTGCACACGCCGGCTACCTGCTGACTGGTAGAAACGATTTCTTTGAGAGTATCTAACATTACGCAATCGCCGTACGATTGTGCATATTCAGCGTTTACAATACGAGACGGTCAGAATCGATTTCATAGAGAATTACTCAGAGGCATGTCGAGGGCCACGAGCATACCTATCTGTCCGCGATTTTTCTAACCCGCGAGGATTCGATTTGCGTGACGCAATGCCCGCGGAAGAATCCTCGCGCACGATACACCCGCTTGCTTTCACGCGCGATCGAAGCTACTCGTTTCGAGATCACTCTTTCCTCTAGCGAACATGGCTTTATCGCTGTAGGATCTTGTACTGCTTACGCAATTCAGGCTCGATAATTAAAAAAAAAAAATCAGAGGATACTGCAAATCAAGATGCTAATAAAAAGACTTTAAAAGAAACTAAAGAAATAACATCGCACAGGGAAAAATGAATCTGAAAGGAACGAAATGGTCAATGAAAATTATCGAATGATAAAAGCAAACAACCTTTTACAGATAGGACGTTGCATCAGGACATAATTGACCACATATCTGTGATTATTATTTTATACAACAGAATAATTCGTTCCAGATGTTTTAATTTTAAATGAACACTGGTTGATCAAAACGTATATATATATATATATTAAGTTAAAAACCGTGATTCGGTCCGTGAAGTTTTTCTTCTCTGGTATGGAAAGTTCTTCTTCTAGAAAATGCCAGCTTCCTCGCACGCAGCAGCTGGTTATTGATTAATCGAGTTGTTGACTCCATGCTTACAGCGAGCTTCATCGAATGAGTCTTCCGATTGAATAGGCAGGACGCGTAGGTAGACCGAGGTATATACTTAGGGAAGGGACACAGGTGTTTCCTTTGAAGCACACTTCCTCCTTTATATAATACGATTACGAGGTAAAACTAAGTTTAAAGTACTGTCGATGTTCGTGTCTTCGTGTTGCGTGAACTTCATCATTGACGACTCGCTACAGCCTGTTCAGTTCTCCAAGAAGGACACGAATTGAGTGAGTTTGAACAGCTGATCCTCGGTAAGACAAACTTCGTTGGCAAGGTTACTCTCTTCTTTCTGAATCTTGCAAGGTTGAACCATAGTCCCATCCACGGTCCAGCCCCTTTCAACGGCAACCCGACGCGCTTCTTCCAACGTTAAGCCCGTCATTGACGCGAACACGGTTAAACCCAACGACGAATAAGCTTTCGATATTAAGATAATCGCTCTTTCTCGAACATTATCTGAAAAAAAAAAACAATTTAGAATTAATTGGCGCAAGCAAAGAAATTTCAGTTGATTTCTAATTTATTTTACTATACTTATACCTTTTAAAGCAGCCATAATATCAGAGACATCTTCACTCCATTCTGCATTGAGGGCCACGTGAACTGCAGGCCAATCTCTTTGCCACATACGTTGTCCTACCATCCATATCTGGCCAAGTTCTGCATTTCCGCTTTTGAGGTCCGCTGGTATCCGCTTCCACAAGTATTTGGCGTTGCATCTGCGACGGTGATTTTTCGATCAAATAAAGACGGATCGAAATCTCACTCGTGCAGGTCTTACAAGGAATGAATTTGTGTCGTTGAAGTATTGTTAATAGTAAGAAGCCGAGTAAGAAGCAAAGTGTTTGTTACAAGTTCTAAAGTATAAAAATATAACCAAATCCTTTTCGAGGATAAATTTGACAAAACATTAAATCATAAAACAATTGTACTGTAAAAAGTTAATTATTAGAAAAAAATGTTCGTTTATAAAATTAAATATGCGATTAACCCGGGATTACCCACGTGAAGGTCTAGTCGCCGGGATGTACCTGCGCTAGACCCCCAAGTGGGTAATCCCGGGTTAACAAGCAACATATCAAAATATTGATGAAATGAGATAAATATAATATAGTATAAATTAGTAAGCTGCAATAATAAATGAGATCGTTCTTCTTCATGATTTTTTACGTATGATAAAATTAATAAACGCATAATTTATAAAACCGATCGATTATTTTTGAGATGATTTTTATTAAAAAATAAAAGAAAAGGTATTGTAATTATAAGTTGGGGATGTTCTCAAAAAGTTCAAAATTAAATAAGATATATAAGGCACTTCAGAAAAAACATCGTTATATATTTACGCTATATAAATAAACAAGTAATTATTTTTGTCTTAATTATCATTTATCAAGGAAATTACGTATTTAAAAAAAGAAATTTGTATTTCGCAAGCATGGATATGAATTTACAGATGGCGTCAGCATAATATATATATATAAACAATAATTTTATCATTCAAACGTATAAGCATAGCATGTGGCAACTTTACGTCGTGAGATATATAATATTTTTAAATGAGAGACTTGACTTATTTTTGATCAACATTTAAAAAATAAGACAAAGAAACTAAAATCAATTATACTCACAGATCATTCTGATAAAGATATACAGCTAATAATTGAGCATAAGTCTGTGGTGATGCAACTCCACCAGGCGCCTGTAAAAAAGATATGTAATGATTAAATACATAAAATATTTACTGATATTTTCGAGAAAGGTAGTCGGCATAACCTATAACTTATAACGCTCAAACGATATACTTACCTCTAACTCAGCTTTCTCTAATTCGTGGAGAAATTTATCTACTTCACTTAGCACCATGATGAAATTTCGTTATTTCCACAGAGAAAAAAACGTTATTGAAACAATTGTGTTAAAAGTACGCGGCAACATTGAAATAATTAACGTCAAACAAGAAATCTAAACAGCTGAAGACTGAACATAGGTTACATAGGTTATAATTCCTGTACTACTTCGATATAGATGGCAGCACCTAATAAACCAATTTTTCAAATTATCATTAAACAGTCATATACTCATCGATTTGAAATTTTGATTTAAATGGATACATTTTTATATCATTAATTTAGCTAATTACAATTAGATCATTTACATGTATAGAATATTTCATTTAATGAAATTTAAGTTCAATAAGTTAATTCCGATTCAAAAATTTTGCAATTTACAAAAATTCAAAAATTAGAAAGAAACTTGTATCATAAATAAAGTATAAAATAAATCTGGTATTCAATGTATATCCGTGTTCTACATTTTAATCTTCTTTTTCGTATCGATACACGATATTATCGATTCAATATGGTAGTAGTTTAAATTAAATTTTAAATTATAAATAAGGTATAAAATTTATCTTACAATCATAAATGGAATTCTATACTGCAATATTTTTTAAGTAAACATTTACTAATTTTATATAAAAAGATTTAAATTCTATTAATTTAATGAATTCAATTTATTCAATTTGGTAGTACATAATAAATGTAGTAATCCTCCATCATTAATTTTGCTCATTTTACTCGTGAATTTCCATTATATTTAACAAAATTTTTCTATTATAGATATTATTTGGAATCATATGATAAGAATAATGTTACTTACAACTTATGTTCACTGTTATATTGTAAAGACACAATTCATTGCAAACTTTTTATTGTTTCATAACATGAGATGGAAAGTCCCAGTGTCATGTCTATCCTATCCTTACTTAATGATCATATTTAATTCAAATCTACATTAAAAATACATTATAATTATATTAAAAGTACATTATAATTTTATTCAAAAACTGTTAAAAATTGATTAAAATTTTTATTACACTGTATCAATGTGAATAGGTATTTTATAGAAGCAGTGTTTTATGGTCTGTTACTGATATAATATTTCTATAGTCACGACTGTCATTACGCTTATATGACTGTATACAGGCGAATGACCATTGAATAAAATGTTTGCATCATCGCAGAAAATGCAACTAAATATTATGATTTGTTATTACTGATACTGCAGTTTTTGTATTTTAATACGACCGGCGAAGTGACATAAGCCTAACATGGCTACTGTTAAAGTAACCGAACAGAAGGTTATCCTATGTGGTGAATATGGTGTTGGAAAGACATCTATATTTAGGCGGTTCGCGAATAATACGTTTATAGCGAGTAGCGATAGAAAATCGACATTGGGTCTCGATAATATCGATAAAGAATATGTTGTTGAGGACAGACGAATACGAGTAATGTGTTTATATATATCTATATATATTCAAAATCCTTGAAATTGAATTAAATATAATCAATCTCATTTTTTTTATATATCAATAAATTATTTAAATTACCTTGTTAAACGTTATACTTTTTATATTTATGTTAAACGTTTAATTCTATTTTATTTTCCAGTTGCAATTGTGGGATACGGGTGGTATGGAAAGAGTTGCATCAGTAACGTCCAGCTATTATAAATTTGCAGAAGCTGCTATACTAGTTTTTGCATTAGATAATTCAACATCTTTTCATCTCTTATCTCAACATTTACTTGATATTGTTACGTATGCTGAAAATGCAAAAATATTTCTATGTGGAAATAAAAGTGATTTAGAAAGCACAGCTCCACAAGTTACAGATGCAGAAATGGAACAATTTTGGTAAATTTAATTATAATCTAACTGCTATGCAATGTACATCTATGTACAAACAATAATATATTGTTTATTGCAGTGAACAATGTCACAATTTAATTTCTGGCATATATAAGACATCATGTAAGACTGGAGAAGGGATACATGAAATGTTTGAAGATATAGCACAGCATCTAGTGGAAGCTAACAGATCACGCATGGAATTGCATGAAATGGACAAAGACAGATTTAAAATTTCATACATTGATGAAGCTGCTGATCCATCATGTTTGTGCTAAATAAAAAATATTAGCAAGTGTATGATCCTGATGCAATATTCTTTACAACTCGGATAACTCAACACAGTAATAAAATGTGATGAGTGAAAATACCTTTTTATATCAAGTAACGATAATGCCAAGTTTTTCTATGAGAGAAATATCACGAAACAAGAAATGGGGAAAAAAGGGGGAATATTAATAGAATTTATATGAAATTGAAATTAAACTTTGAAAAAGTCATAAAAGCAGAAAAGTTTAAATAAACATTTATTACATATTGAAAAGTATTTTACTTAATTAAACTTAATTTATTTATATCACTCACAGTCAGCATTGTATATTTGATCCACATTATCTTCATATTAAATAATTGGAACTATATAAAATGTCATTAGTGTTGAGTCCATTTAATAGTTTTCAAATCAATTCCCTCTTCGACCATTTCCCATAATGGACTGCAAAAGCAATTTAAATATGTATTACTAAGTATATATAAAAAATATATAAGGCCATATATTCTTAATTATGAGAGACGTCCAACAATAAATTTATGCCCTCCGTTTGTTATAATATCGCGCTTTTTATATTCATCGCCAAGATTATGCAAAGCGTAATTCATCCGTGCTTTCATATCAAATAAATATATTATAACTAAATAAAATGTACCTCATTTCTCGAAGTCTTCTAACGTGCCGGATTGTATTTTCCGCAGTATAATCAACTTCTTCAACAGTTGTAAAACGACCAATACCGAATCTACATAGATAAACAAAACATGATAATAATCACATTATTATGTCATGAACATATTAATTTACCTGATACTGGAATGTGCCAGATCTTCCGATGTTCCAATTGCTCTTAAAACATAACTAGGTTCCAAACTCGCGCTAGTGCAAGCAGAACCACTACTCAGAGCAACATTTTTTAGAGCCATTAATAGAGATTCTCCTTCTACATATGCAAAAGACAAATTTACACATCCAGCATACCAAGCTACTGGATCTCCGTTACGTATAACATGTGGTAGATTTGACATTATTTTGTCAATCAATCGGTTCGAAAGCATTGTGATATATTTGTGATCATACTAAAAAAAAAAAAAAATGAACAAATTTAGTTAGGGATCATAATACATATTACATCATCATACATATTTATTTTTATAATCATAATACATATTTATTTTATAACTAAAAATACCTCCATTTCTGTTTGTGCCAAATCACAAGCTGCTCCTAGGCCTACTGCTAAAGGTGCTGGAACAGTACCACTTCTCATACCTCTTTCTTGGCCACCACCACTTTGAATTGCTTCTATGCGTACTCTTGGCCTTCTCCTCACATACAGAGCTCCAATCCCTTAAAATTTCATTTATAATTATTTAAATACAGAACCAAAATTTATCTCAAATGTACCTTTTGGACCATATATTTTGTGACCACTAATAGACATCAAATCAATATTCATAGCATTAACATCAATTGGAATTTTACCAATTGCTTGAGCTGCATCTGTATGGAAAAATACTTTCTTCTTTCTATAAAATTAATATTATTATAAAATTTAAAATTTTTTCTTGATATTAACTTACAATATTTTTCCTTACCTACAAATGGTACCAATTTCTGCAATTGGTTGTTGCACACCAATCTCATTATTTACCATCATAACAGAAACTAGAGAAGTAGTTGGTCTAATTGCATCTTCTAATTGATTAAGATCAATAAGGCCATTTGGATTTACTGGAATATATGTTACTTCAAATCCTTCTGCTTGTAAAGCTCTACAAGAATCCAACACACATTTGTGTTCCTATTTGACAAAATAATATATAACAATAAATTCATAACATTACATAATTAATATTTCAATACAATTAACATACTATCTGAGTCGTCACAATATGATTTTTTCTTCCTTTGTAGAATCTCGCAACACCTTTAATAGCTATGTTATTGCATTCTGTGGCACCAGATGTAAATATAATTTCTTTATTATCTGCACTTATTAAATTTGCTACTTGCTGTTAAGAATGAAACATTTGATTATCAGTTTATTAAATTATAATTTTTTTCAATAAATTTAACAAATTTATATAAATTATATGATATTAACTTTGCGAGCAAGCTCAACAGCAGCTTCTGTTTCCCATCCATACATATGAGTTCTGGAATGTGGATTTCCATAATATAATGTGAGATAAGGCATCATTTTATCCAATACTCGTGGATCCTATATTATAAGTAATTTAAATGTCAAATTATATTTATCACAATTATCACATCACATATTTACCATTGGCGTAGTTGCTTGAGCATCCAGATAAAGTGCCCTGCCTTCTGCAGGTCCTCTTTTGTACTCATCTGAGATGACAGCTATAATTTAATCATATATTTACATACAAAAATTAATGAAATTCTGCAATTACATAAAATAGAATGCTTACACTCATATTCTGTAATTTCTGATAAATTTTGACTATTAACATGCACTGCACGGCATTCCTTGATACGACTTAAAAAATATAACAAACTTCTTGCTGGCCGGAACATGTTAACTTTTATAAAAACACAAATTTATTTCAATTATCGACGATTTTCAGAATACATATTCTAACCTTAGATAACCTGACTGTGAATAGTTTGGTTTCTAAATTACATCTAGATTTGGAACTACCTATGCAAATATATAATACATATTATGTAAATTGTAATTATTAACTGTAAATACAATGTATTTGATATGACAAACTTAATTTATTACTTATTCATTCATATGTCCACAAACACTCAGCAACTACTACATAAAATGATGCAATGTTATTCTCAATTCTACAATGTATAGATACACACATACTTTGAAAATACGTCAATACCTTAATTTGGAAATAAATAAAAATAATCGAATTAGATATAAATACATAAATGAACGAAGACAATTATAAAAAACATTTTATTAAGTACAATAAATATACAAACTAAGCACATTGATTTGAATATTTCTAGAATTAGAAAAAATAATTTAATTTGTATGTAAATATGTTTTACAAGTAAATGTAAGAATACCAATTATATTTAAATACACTTCTGCAGGCAGCAATGTAATATAAATGTATAGAAATTATCATAATCGTAAAATACTGATTAACATAAAAAAATTATTGACGATCTTTTGATAAATTTAACGAATCGCCAATATCACTACTTTGTGATTGTTGTTTCTTATGTATTGTGGTCATATCTAACATACCACCAAATTCAGATTTAGAAATTGATAGTTCCTCAGTTCCTTGATACTCATTTGATCGATTAAGTTTTGCATTATCGTTTTGTACTTCCAGTTTTTTTCGATCACTTGAGTAATCTTCTGGAGTTGCAGAAAAATTTCTACAAGATTCTGAAGACCCAATAGTTGTTTTGAATGGCGATTGAATAGGATCAACCATAGCGAAATCGTTTGATTTACGTTCGTTCGAGTCAATATCTCTGGCAGGAGAAATTTTACCAATTGGTCCAAACAAATTTGCAATATTACGCATATATGCAGATGGTGATGGCGATGTTCTTGCAAAATCTGGAATAGGAAATCCAGAGAGTTTCGCCAAATCCGCTGTAGAAAAATTAGCTAATTTTGATAAGTCCGAAAATTTAGAAATTTGTTGTGTTATATCAGCTAGAGGAAAATCAGGTGTTGTAGATGATCGCGTTTTATTGATACTTATATCCGTTCCGAGAGAATTAGATACTTTTGAAAAATCAGTTGGTGCAAAATCATAGTCGCATTTAGCATTTTTTACAGAAACTGTGAGTTCTCCAGACTGAAAACTGGGCATCACTTCTGATGGTGATATGTGCTGCTTAGATGTAGAGTTTCCATCTTTTAATTGTGTGATTGATGCAGTGTCTGTCGTTATAATATCCTTTTTAATATTATCTCTGGACGTAGATGGCTGCATCACGAAAGGTTTTGATGTTGGAGTAATTATGGCACCATCAGGCTTGAAATTCACAGGTGTAAGGAAGACAGCTGCATTATTAGGTGCAAGACCAACTCCTGGTGGAACCGAGGGTACAAGTGATTCTGAGACTGGTACTAGAGGGAATTTCATTGCTAGAAATTCCGGTGATGCTCCATCTTCAGAACCAGGACAAATCATTTCTCTAATTACATCCCAATATGAACCATTCGACCTATTACGACCAGGTAACTTGGACGCTAAAGAGCACTTTAAATATCGACGTATTTTAGGTGTACTTTAGTAGTATTAGTACTCATATTTCTAGCTTATTTTTTATATACTTACTCTTAAACGTTCAAGATAAGTTGTATTATTGTTAAAATTGGCAGTAAAATCAATACCTCCTTCACTTCTATAATATTCTATGCATCTTCTCTGAAATAATACAATGTATTAAATTATCTTGATTGTATTACTAATTGAATATATCTATATACGTACAATTTCTTCTAATGTATCTTGAGAAAGAAAATGCTCTTGAGATAATGTATAACTCAAAAGCATTGGTCTCGGATACTCATGAGGCCGATTTTCTGGAGGTGGTAAAGACCAAAAAACATTAAAATTTGATTCATAACAACTGCCATCTGTATTATATGGAGCTGAAATCAATTTTTTTTTTTTTTCAATCCAAGAAATTTGATTACAAAATATTATTTATTAAATTATATTTTATGAAAGAAATCTTACAACATATTAAACCCACACATGGTGTATAACCATTATCGCTAGGTCCCTTCATTTTGATTTGATAATCTAATTGAGAATCAACATCTCTAAGGGAAGGAGAAGCATGAGATCTAGGATGAGAATGATACCAGCCAACTAAAGTCACACGTTTCCATTCCATTGCTCTTGCAATTTCAGCTTCAACTGCAGCTGCAGCTGATTTATCTTTGCCAGAATATCGGCATGGAAAGGCAGTTGTTATAGATAGATCTATCATTTTAGAATAAATAATTTTTAGTAATAAAAATATATTTTAATTATACTAAAAATGCTATAGAAATATTTACTGTGTGAATTAATATCCCAATGACCACCTAAATAGCCACAAACTTCTTTATCTGTTAAATGACAGTGCAAATCTACCAATAAAGCTGCAGTAGTTGTTATAGTAACTAAAAAGGGTTGTATTTTGCCCAATGTGCTAAAAGAAGTAAGCTCTACCATTGTACTCATATCCCTAAAACATAAGATATAATTAATAATATAAAGAATCTTTCTTTTGTATTATTCTCTTACATGGCATGGCTCCTTATTCCAAGATTAGCATGTTTTACTGGTACTCTTACTACTTGTATTGGAGGACTTATTTGAACTTTTTCAGGACTCTCCTCCATAGGTTCTGCAGTTGTTGTTATTGTTTCCATTTTTGCCTCTTTATTTTTCAAAAAGTAAATAGCATCAGGCCATGATTATCGACTATAAACTGTATTACATTTTATATTCATGACAAGTAGAATTTAATTAAACAGTAAAATAATTCTTTAAACAGTACATTACTGTTATCACGTATTACATGCTTTTTCTGTCTTTTTCAACACATATATTGTTGAAAACCTAACCAATTCTTGAATCTCTTGTTATGACTGATAACAGAATAACACTAGTTACAATTTTTTACTAGTTTAAAAGACACCCTATGCCATTAATAGAGACATATACCATGTGAAGGTTGGTATTACAATAAATTTCAATATTTAGTAATTTTATAGTTTAATAAAACTTACATATATATATGTTAATAAAAGAATTTTTAATGATCTTAGATTCTTCAATTGTTAAGATAGATTTATTATAAAAATAATTTTTTATCTATATAATTATTAAACAGTGAATTATTACTTTATGTAGTTTACTAAAATGATTTATTTACATTATACATATAGTTACATGACTTTTGCACATATAATAGATTTATGGAGGATAGAAAACATATTACAAAAGATAAAAAATACATGTTTTTCTATTAATAAATAAGTGAACAATAATAATAAGGCACCTCTTAATTCCTAATGAGTATTTTACCTATAATTTGAAGATATTATTATAAAATTGTTTATGCTATCGCATTTGTATAAATATAGTTAAAAATAGAGTCGTTCATTGTATTATAAAATGAAGTTATAAATATTAAGTAAAAAAATACTAATACTGCGTGTAAAAATTATGATTGGTTTACAATGTTTGATTTGCTGGCACTACAGTACTATTAATATACTACTCTAAAAATATTACTTTTGTGCATACTATAAAAATTTCAGATTGGCACAAAATTGTATCCATTTACTTGGATTCTACATTCTCTGATCTGGTTCTTGACAATAATCATAAATAGGTATCTCTGGTGGTTCTTCCATCATAAGTTTAGGAGCACAACTTCTTGTTGCTGCTACTACACATAATGTCACAGCTGAAGCAGCAGCTACATGCCAAGAAAATATCAGAGCAATACCTTCTGGTAATATTGGCACTGTATGATATACACGAACTACATGAGCTATCCAACCACCATGAAGTAATGTCGTACACCCTCTTAGAAGCTTCAATTCAGGCCACACAAGTTCTAAAGTAATAGCCAAAGATGTTGTCCATACTATTAATGCCAAAATTCTATCAACTAATGCATTGTTTCCAACACTTCCCCACAAGAAAAGAAATCCTTCTATGAAAAAGCTTTGAGCAAGTGCCAATTTTACTAATCCTTCACTTACATTATGAGGGAAATAAAAATTCAAGACATCAACCAAACCAGAGAATGCAAAGAATAAATAGATTGTAGCAAGTACAACTTTTGGAGACACAGTTCCAACTTGTTGTAAACCACCAGTTATTGTACCAGCTAATCCCACAGCAGTAGCTATTAGTTTTAAACTTCCTTCTATAGGATGTCTGTTTATAAGTTTCTCACATCTTTCTATAAATCTTAGTCCCTTTGTTGTACGTGAATCATCTCTAGGTCTTAGAGATACCCAATATTTAGCATATTCATAACACCATTTTAAACCAAAGGCATAAAATATGAAGCCAGTAAGAATACAAGGCATATAGCTATCCATGGAGTATATGTAAAATTAACTTCTTGTTTTTCAATAATCTGTAAAATTTATAGAAATGTTTAAAAAGTAGAATTCATAGAATTACGAAGAAAAAAAAATCGAATATTTTTTAATCTAAGTAAATAATTTAAGGAAGAAAATAATAAAAAATATACTCATCCTTAATTACTCACTGTGTACAATATTGCTATGCAATAAAATAAAATTTACCTCCAGAATATAAATTTAGAAATATTTCAGACATAGAATGGGCATAAAATAGATTTTACATGCAATGTATTTTTATGTCACACGGTATGTTACTTTTATCATTATCGACTGAGTACAGAATAAGATTTAGTCATAGACGAAGTATAAGAATAGACATTGCATCTTACAGGCATCGTGTTCCATGTTTTAAAATATAGCGACATAGTAAAAAATCAGTGGTTTTTTTAGAGCACTTAATGCTCAAACAACGAATTAGGAAATTACATCAAGTAAAATGATCGAAGATGATCAAGTAATTAGCCAGAAATATGACTTTTGAAATCCATTAGATTGTTGTCAAATTTTCGATATCGAAATGTGGCTCTAGAAACTAACTAATCAATAAAAATATGAAATATAAAATAAGAATAAAAAAAATATAACAAATCGGAACAAGGATTAATAATAGGACGAAAAATTTATTATATATTTAATTATTTACATCTGTTTAAAAATATTAGAAAGAATTGATTAATATATTTTTTATTTTAATTATAAAGGATTGGACATATCAAATAAATATTTTTATAAATATTGTTACTTTTTATTCCGAGTTAGTTTCGTGCTAAATGCGCGCGTATTGGGTTTAAATTAATTGAAAATTACAGCGCCACTACACGGTGAAATATGCAATGCACTTCCTACGATTCTTGAATGTAATCGATATTTCGTATGATCGATTTTTAAGCGGGAGAGCAGACCTCTAATGGCGGAAAGAAGCACATCTCATCTGTAAAAACGGAAGTGTCATGCAGAAAAATCATTCACAAAGAAGTATCACTCAAAGTTCTTTGGTAAAAATTTAAATCAATAGCTGTTAGATTTCTGTTGTGAATTTTTAAATTAAAACTTTCATTCATCGAGATCTAACTACTGAAAAAGTAATTTAACCAAGTAATTATTACATGTAATTTTCAACAATTAAAGAAATAATAGCATATAAATATTTAACCAGAACTATGTTAATATTTATTTATAATTTTATATCAAAATTTAATTTCAATTCTAACCAATACTGTAACCTTGTAATTAACTAACCTATATATGTACATGTATTTTGATATATGCTTTTACGTACACACTTCTATTATAACATTTTCTACTTATTTGTTTAGTCTTTAACTTCATACTGTATAATTCATAACAATTCTTAAAACTCAACAATAATTTATTAATAATGTACATATTTAATAATTAAAATAATAATTATACTATGTAATATAATAAAATTTCTCATGTCACAGTAGTGTCAAAGTATTGACAATTTTTCATCAGGTATGTGAATATTTTCGTTCTTTTTTAAAAAATTTTCATGAATTTTGTATATTTAACTTAGACAAAATTTTTTATTTTTTATTCCAAGTTATTTCTTGCGAAACGTGCGATCACAGCGCCCCAATGGTGAAATGCGCAATTAATTTCCAACGATTCTCGAAATAATCGATATTTCTCATAATCGATTTTTTAACGGGAGAGCAGACCGTTAATGGTGGAAAGAAGCACACCTCATCCGTAAAAAAAGAAGTCATTCAGAAAAATCATCCAAAAAGAAGTATCATTCAAAAGTTTTCAGGTAAAAATTTAAATCAATAGTTGTTAAGTTTATGTTTATTTTTAAGATAAAACGTGTACTTTTGCCTACAACTCAAGGTAAGATTTAATCAAATAATTATTGCATATAATTTTCAACAATTAAAGAAATAATATCATATAAACGTATAAACAAAATATATCTGCTAAAAGTTATTTATAATTTTATACCAAAATTTAATTTTAATTTTAATCAATACAAATATCGTAACCTCAAAATTAACTAACTCATTGTTACATATATATATACGTATTTTATTATATGTCTTTACGCACTTCTATTATAACATTTTCTACTTATTTATAACTTCATAGTGCGTTGACTAGAATTTCATCTAGAAGTTTCTTTATAATTATTTTCTAGAAAAATAGCAGTATTTTCTAAATGAACTCTTCGCCCTCTCTCCCTCCCCACTAATCAGCTTTATTTTCAGAAAATTTTTGTGACCGCGCGCAATGCGGTCGGTAGAGCCAGTGTTTGTTGCGTAATATTTTAACGTTTGTCCGAGCGAAATGGCTCTTATTAAATAAAATTATTAATTTATTTAAATTTAATTCGCGAAGTCAGAGTCAGTGAGTTCGCCAATTGTTGCTTAAACGCGCGCGGTCACAATTTATAGTATTTATTTTTCTATTTTCATATCTTGTTCAATACTCATTTTCGGTATTAGAATCAGTGCTCAAGAGGATAAGGCCTCTCCAAGAGATCAAGATCGTAAGTAGTTTATATATTGTACTTCAGTTTATTTAATTTTTCAAATTTAACAACAAGTACATATAATGTTTAACGTTCTATTACAGATGCTTCACATCAGCATTAATTTTTTGGGGGAAAATCCAACGGTGTCTCTATAGCCAAGAATGTAAGAATCTTTCATTATCTCCAATTTACGATTTTGCTTTGCTTTTAAATACAAATTCTAATGTTTAATGTTTTGTTACAGATCTTCTACAGTCTCCACTTCCCCTAATCTTCCAAAAATGTTATGATGCTTCGAAAGCTAAGAATGTAAGTACTTTAGCATATTATACCTGAAATAATTCTCTTCTCTTCTTTCTATTAAAGTCGAACGTAAAATTATAACTCAAATTATAAATACTTCAAATTATTAGTCCCAATTTTTACCATTATTAAAATTTAAATTTCCACAAATAACAATGTGTCTTTAGAAATAATGTTTTATGTTTTTTAAGAAATTTTTCACGGCGTTCACTTCCATTATGGGATTCTCAGGGGTATCTACTTGATGAGGATCTTCACGATAACTTTTCCTGATGCAGTGCAGCATTGATGATAACGTTCTTCACATCTATCGCGTGAGTCGCATGCATTTGTGTTCCTCTGGTCACTCAATCATGTCGTAGGATGAAAAGTTCGAATCGGCACGGGTGACTGGTTGTATACGTAGAATTTTTGATGAGCATAGTGACCGCGAGTATTTTTTATACTCGTGAGTAGTAACATTTTTTCAGGTTTTTTATGTATTAGATTAGGATAGGGCTTCTTGCACATCGCGACTTTAATTTGGATGCGTACATTTATAGTAATTGCTTATAAAATCAAAATATACTTATTACAAATGTTTACAAAAGCAAAATATCCGTATTAATATCCATATTAATATTCATATGAATAAATAAATTATAAATATTTATAAATCATTATTATTAAAATGATTTCATTTGAGCATTTCGTAGTAGAGAAGTCGGACTATGAAACCCTCTCACTATGAAAGATGCAGTTATTACTATTAATATGAATAATATATTTTATTATAATAATTACTGATTAATAATTATTATAATAATAATTTACAGCTTTACTTTCCCTTTTATAATAGCACTGAATGATTGAATTTTATAATTATGAATTTTAGTAGGTTTTGAAATATAATAGATGAGAATTTTTTCCGTAAAAAAATGTATAAAATTTTATGTGCAAGAAGACACTTCGCGATAGGCAGATTTTTGAATCAAAGCAACAAGTTTGAACACTGCTTTCCCATTTTCGATAATGTGCTTTGATGAAGAAATCGCCTGAGATTATTTTTGTTAATATTTAATTTGGAGTTATTTGTTTGATTTTGATTGTTCAAGTCAATTGTCAGATTTCATAGTATTTTAATAAATTCAGTTCTTCTTCATTGTCTTTATTCTCTTGCAATTTCAATAATTTCTGAAAGAGTAGAATCATTAGAATTTAAAATAAAATGATATAATAGTCCGTTTAGATACAAACTGTATAAATTAATCATTTTTTTAGTTTAGGATTTTCAGGTTTAATCCTTTCCGTGTTCATTGTCAGAATCTCACTCACGTGCCCAGGTGCTACTTGGGTGGGTGAAAGACATTGGGCACGATGATCATAGTTTGTAATTTCATAAAACATTTCTCAGCGACTGACAATGTGTTAGCCTATCGTGCACGACGTATTTTCCGCATGTGTGTGTGTGGTTAGGATGTGGAAATGCGTCGTTTCTATTCTATTCCATTCACTATAAGTTGAAATATTAAAAATATTTATGCACTAATTTTAAGTGTGAATTATAACAATATATAATAAATACAGTATAATTATATTATTAATTATACTTTCAATTATAATAATGATTCCAAGTCAACTTGCACATGTGACTTCTACAGAAATTATATGTATGTTTATTCAGTTATTAACGTTTCACATATAAGTATAAATATAAACGTGTTTTAATCACGTTTCACGCAATGATAGCTAGCTATTGTCAGTCGATTTCAGGAAAATGGTACGTAAATTAGAGTGTGAATGTTGCGTGCGACACTCGGGTGTCGGAGGCGTCCCGGGATGTCCTCTCTAGTGTAGGCTTTTGCGCCCGAGTGTATGTGTGAGAATCGTGGAGCGAGTGTGTGCTTATTTTGCCATTTTTTAAATATAGGGCGACTTGTTAGGATAGGTAACATACTTTCTGGTGTGCCTGTGTTTAATTATAAGTAGGTAGGGCCGGGCAGGTTGGCACAGTCTTTGGTCGCGTGTCCCCTTTTCGCGTGTCCAACCTGTTTCTGGAAAATTTAATTTGAAAAATCGACAGTGAAATTGGTACAAAATGGATCATGCCACTTGTTTCTGGTTTTACTCTTCGATATTTCGAATTTAGTATCGCGGTCGCGGTCGTGGATAGGTCGCGAATAGGTCCCGAAACGAACGTTTATGTAGGTATTGCTCGAGCATGCACATGCGAACGGACAACGATCACTATGATCGATGGTCGTCCATGTGCAATTGAATCAGCTTCCGCGATTTATCTTTTTATTTCACCTTTATAAGTTATTTTTTGGTTTGCGATTAGAAAGACTCGAGCTAAATATAAGTTTCAGCAGGCATTGCGCTCGAAGAAAGAAAAGGCTAGAAGCCGAAGAGACCCGGCAAACTGCCACGAAGAGGGTCACAACAAATGATTTCTCATCCTCTGGATTATTTAAATGATTCCAGAGCATGAGACGTCATTCTTGTTACTACTTTGTCACTATGCTCTTTTAGTATTTGTAGTTGCATTTTTTTTTCTTCATCGTTCGTCATCGTTTTGGGCAAATCGCGGTTTTTTTGTTAGTGTTGCGAGAGATTGATTACGGTTTAAATTAGAGTTGCGAAGAAATGATAATCGTGTTTGCTTTAGAGTTGCAAGTTATGGTACCGCGATTGTATTTTGCAATTTTGATTGTGAATTTTTAAAGTCATCCAAGAGTTTTAGATATTAAAATTTGTCTTGTTTTCTATTGTTTTAAATTAGATTATAGTGTAATTGCTTTTAATTAATTTTAGAATGCTAGAATATTTGAATATTAATTTTTTGTTCATATAGTTTTATATTCTTGATAATAATTTTCATTCAATATATACAGTTTTAGAATTAGTGTTGCGACGTTATTTCATCGCGATTTCCAATTACTTTAGCTCTTAGTGTTGCGGTATTGTTCCATCGCGGTTTCAATTACATTTTTTCTTAGTGTTGCGACAATGAGTGATTGCGTTTCTTGAAGTAGCGTTGCGTTTACAAAATGCCCAAATGCCTTCCACTGGATTTGTGGGAGACTGTTCCTGCTCCTGGATCACTTGATGTAGCTACAAGAGCTGCACAGAGGTGGTTATTCATCAACAACCTCCAGCATAGTTGTACTGGACATATCGCAATTAGTGTTGCGTATTTCTAAACGTGAGTGCATAGATTAATAGTTACGTACTTTCGGGAATTTTAAAAATGATGAAGCACTCTTCGCGTTTGATTTTGAAAATTTTGCATTTTACAATTAGTGCTAGTGAATTAGTGCTGCGAAACAAGATACAGTTTGTTGCACGGATTCGTAATGTAGATAATTATGCAGTAATCCTTTTGGTTATTGAGTAGGAAATGCTTGTTTTCTAGTAGCTCTTTCAGCTGCGATTTTTTTCTCCAGTGGCCCTTTTGGCTGCTGTATCACGATTTCTTTTTCAGTCCTTCTGGCTACTGTTTTAGATTTTGTTTGGCAGTAGCCCTTTTGGTTACTGTGTTAAGTTTTCTTTTTCAGCATCCCTTATTACTGTGTTTTGTTACTGAAAATACTGCTAAAAATATATATATTATTAGCTATAACTTTGTTATGGATTTTACAATACAAAATTTTATTATAAATTTAATATATTTACAAATATAAAAATGTAAGAGTTTTCATATGCTGCATATAAAGTAGGAATAAAGTAAGAAAAGTATTGTAATAAAGTATTTAAATATTACAATGAAAATTTGAAATTTTTTTAAAAGAATAATTACATTAGTAATACTTTATGGAATATTAGTTTATTACGAAATATAAATTAGTATTCAATTTTGAGTCAATAATAGCGATTGTTCGTTATCAGAGTTATTTTTATATCATTTTCCCGATCTCTTTTTTTCTTTATTCAATAGTAATATTTGAATTTGGTATGTATAAATCAAAATTTATTCGCGTCGTTTATTCATAACAAGGCTCTTGCAATGAACGCGTTTTGCGCAATTCTTTCTATTCTTTATGCTATGAATAAACGTTACATAACAAATAAATAAAAGTTGAAATACAAATTATGTGATTTTAATCGAATTTTCTTTCATCTTTGTATCAAAGATAAATTTTCAATTTTTGACTTATTCAGTCCAATTTAAATCCAATCACTAAAGATTCTTGTTTTCAATTTATATAATTTGGAATCGAAAAATAATTTAATTCAATTAATAAAGTATAATTATGAAGTAATATCTTGATAATAACCGGGGTTTTTTTTTTGTATGTATAATATTTCTTCATTTTAAGTCTTTTCATTCTGTTTTTTATTTAAATTATAATATTAATCCAGTACATAAGTTTGTTTCAGATATATTAATTGCAGAGAGCATTAGTTACAAAAAGTATACAGAGATATGGACACCAGAGATTTAAAAAGACAGAATAGGAGTTAAAGAAAGTGACTAAGAGGAAAAAATTGTTACAACAGAATGATGTTTTATTCAACTATAAATAATAGTTATATTTTACAGATTTTACTAATCTTTTCCATTTTCTTAGATTTGTTTTACAGATTATAGAATCAACGAAAGAAGATTTCATGTAATACAACATTGGAAGAAAACTTCATTTTTTTTTTTTAATTTTTAAATTATATTTATATAAATGGAATGAATAAAAATCGTTCAATTTTTTGTAGTGATGCTAGATCATGTTAGGCTAAATTAGGCTATTAAAATAGTTTTAAATTGGGTGTTATATTGTGTTGTGTTGTGTTTTAAGTTGGTTATTAGATTTAGTATGGTAATAAGTAATAAGTCTAAGTATATAAGTATATAAGATGTGTTAGTATCTAAGTGCATGCATGGTGAAGGCTAGTTAATATTAATTTAAGTGGGATAAGTAAAATTCTATATGAGATTCATATTTGTTTAAACTTTTTAATTGCTGTTACATAGTCGAAGCTGCGTCTCATATAGAGTTGTGTAGTTAGTTTATGCTTTAATATAATTTCTATTTTTATAGAAATTTAGCTTCCGCGTCGGTTTTTCTTACAGTTTCTTTTATTGTTCAGTTTGCACAACGATCAATTGAACGTTCTGCAAATGCACAATAGAAGAACTATTTATTCATAAATTCATGTTTTAAATTAGTAAATTTTTGTTCGCAAAAGGAGGGTGGATGGGTCGCGGATAGGGTGGGTCTCCATTCGCAGCACCTCCACGTGGTGGGACCTGGGCAATCATTATTATTTATGATACAATTACTAATTGCATTACTGCGATGCAATTATGAATTATATAACAAATAATATGAGCTGATTGGCTGCGATCGCGATTTAGTTTTTATGTAAAGATTTATTGAATTGTTAGGGAGATGTCAACTTTGTTGTTGAAATATACTAATTACACGTAAATGTCAATTTAGAAGTCTGTGACATATAATGCTAATTTATGTAGAAAATAATCATATTATAGTCAAAAATTAAGTTGGCCGTCCCTTAAAAATGCAAATGAGAAAGTGTTCAGGTTCAATTCAATAAATAATTTTCGGTACGGATGTAACAACATTATTTATATTTTCTGATTTCAATTCCTATTGCTAGTAGCGCTGTGGTGTAAAACCTGTCTAAATCGATATGGTAGAATGTGACACGAAAATAGTATGGGGAGTCAGGTGATCCCTAAAACGTGGAACGCGAAAAAGCATTGGATGTCCGGTCTATTCTAGTTAGTCAATAGTTATACATTAATTCACAGACGAAATATTTGAATCATATACCTCGTCTGTCCATGAATTTGTCAAATATCTTCGGTTGGTAAAAGTAAATCGTATCTGCTAGTATTCATCTTAGATTGCGTTACTTTGCTTCTTCTTACTATGAATTTTTCCATTTTAAAAAATATACCCAACGTTCAAAATCGATGAAACACTCTAGTTATTCTAGCTTTTTCTTCTCAAATTCTGCGTAAAAGTTTTATTCTATAAAAATTTTCTGAACATCCTACCGCTGCATACGAGTCTGATACAGAGGAATGCCAGGTGAAACACTCTTTTCCAAGTAAATTTGTTTCGTAAGTTTCAATCCGGACCGATACATGATCGCGGGAAATATCGATACGCTTTTCGAAATTCAAAGCCCGTTTGCAGATGGTATTGCCGTGACTCGGGAACGGCCTTTCATGTACGTCTCAATTATCGTTATGTAAATTGACTCAGTTTTGTGATGTGTGTTCTACATAGGATGAGCATGAACACGTCGAAGCCTTCAGGGTCTATTGATGTGTATATAGGGGTTTCCCAATTGGGCGAAGTCAGGGTCCTTTGATTTTTGACTTTTCACGAAGAGACACAAAAATGAGTTGAGATAATCGAAAAATTTCTAAAATCTGGATACTACGAACAGAAATAGACAGTTATTAGATAAGATCGACGAGTGTGAATGTTAATGAGCAATTCCGGATGGGTCACGCGTACGATACAGCCTATTTTGGGGTTTACTCCAAAGGGATAAGCCGAAGGCGGATTATCGCAAGTGGTGCTGTCGCATCTGTCATATACAACGCGTTATTATTCCATTTCTATACGTGTCTTGCTGTTTCTCCCTTTCCCATTGCCAGGATCATGCTCTATCGATCCGAATCGCCGCGTAATCCCGCAATCGGATTATCTCGTGGAACCATGAACGAAATCGAATCATCGCGTGTGCCGACGAATACACGTTGGCCCGGTAAATACACGTTTCTTAATACGAATGAAACGAGGTAACAAGAAAATAGAGATATGGAGGGATCGATGGTACAGGGAAAAAAAAAAAAAACGATCGTCATCTCGTACCTCTTAACCAGCGACAATATCCTTAATGTGGCAGTGTCTGATTTCAAAGGGGTAGTCCAATCTTGATCCTTGGAAAGCCGCAGACTTGTCGCGCCGTAAGAAGTATAGCACGACACGTTTTTTCCATTTTCATTTGTCGGAACGGTAAAAAGTGAGAGGGGAGGTGGGAGGGGGGGGGGAGCGGGGTAGGAGCATTGGGGGTGCAATTCATATTTGTCCGTAGGCAGCAGCGGAATTGCACCTTTAATCAAGATTTCTACCAATTTGCGAGCGCCGACGGCGCGAAGACAAAGCCTATTGTTGCCGTAACTGGTTGGGGCTTCAAGTGTTCCAACGCAACGGTGAGAGGCCGATGCGCGTGTATACCGGGTGTACGTCCGGATGGGATCGCAAAATCGTACGACAGATCAATCGGAGAAGGGTCAGTACTCTGATCCCTTTGAAATATTTTATAATATCACGGACAATGTAAATTGTAACCAGCGTTACAAATTGTGTCGTCCTCGTTCGTACTTGTAATTTTACCTTGCTCGCCCGTTTATCAACAAAATATTTAGTGAAGTTAGAGATCGATGGTATTGTACAAGTGAAAAATACAGTCACGATATGTCGAGCTACATGCGAGATGACTAAATATTTCCCGAGTTGAATCGGATGGATTCGGTTCGGAATTTGAGCAATCAAGATACACCCGAGGGCGTACACCCGTTATCTGCAGAACATACATGCGCCTTCGCCGGTCTCTGTTGGGCCGGGAGTTGAGAAGAGTATTCTGGAGCGGAGGCTGACGCTCAGGGACTGCCAAGCTAGTCGCTTCGCATCCCAGAAGTCCCTACCCCACCATTTGCTTCCGGCTAAGCCCGTTGCCACCGCGTCCCAAGCAACTTGAAGCCACTCGTACTTCTGTTTGTGTTTGCTAATTGTGAATTGTCTACTTCTTGCCGGTGGCCCGCGTGTACGCCGCCGCGCGGATAGACAGAGAGAAAAGGAAGAAAGAAGACGAGGAGAAGAAAAAGGGAGCTAGGAGGAGGAGAGGATGGTTCCTGAACTGGAGTAAAAGAGATCGTCTGCGTCGAAGGGAAGAGAAAAGAAGAGAAACAGAGAGAGAGAGAGAGAGAGAGAGAAAGAGAGAGATTGTACGTGTGTACGGAAAGCGTACAAGCCGCATGCGAACCAAGACGAAGTGAGCCAAGCTGCGAGCATATCGTCTACGGAATGCTCAGACTGAGGAAAAACCATCCCTTCTCCCACCCCCGCAGGCAACGTAGCCCGGTTCACTACTATCCCTCCGTTCCTTACACCCACTAGCGACGACCACTCCTCACCCCTGAACCCTCCATATCCCCCTTTCCTCCCAGACACTCGAGTTTACCTCACTAGTCGCTGCTTACATGAGTACTACCCACCAAGAGGCACCCGCGAGCAAGAGGGTACCAATTTTTAGTCATCCTTCCCGTTTCTCCATCCTTCGAGGCAACGTGACGCTATGGCCTCTTGCTTTCTCCGATCGACGAATACTTTTCACCGTTTGTAAACCCGAGACTGTGTTTCGTTTCGTGTTCAGAAGTCGATTAATAAATGAACGGAGGTTGGTACATCCTGAAGAATCTATTTTCGACGAAAGAAACAGACCGGTATAATTGAGTCAACTTGACCATCGTTCCCCTTTGACGGGCGATAATGAGACTATTCTCGATGTCCCTACGGTCGTATCGCCCCGTCACGAAATAAAACGAAATCGTGACGCATTGTAAGGAAAATGTGTTGGCACACACCCTCCGTCGGATGCTGCCGAGCTGCTCGGTCGAAATATACGCGGTCTCTCCAGAGACGAGGGACATATTGTTTGGTTCAGTAATTCCTCACGTTATTTCCCGTGTTTGCTTTTTATCATTGTAAACTGATATATTGTCCGGGGTAACTCTCCCTCGAAGTTGCCGCGGACGATTCCCTGGAAAGAGGACGGCGAAGAGAAACGAAACGAAATGTGGACAGGAGGACACAGCTAGTCGGGTGCAATGCACGGAGTTTAACTTCGTGGACCAAGCGGAAACGAGATTACTCGTTGACACTCACTCCTGGGCTGCTTCATTCGACCGAGACGCAAATATACGGCGGAACGTGCATGAACGTGGCTGGCAAACAATAAAAGTATACAATGCGGATGAGAAATTGAAATTGATTGCTCCAGGAAGCGTGACGAATGATTACCTTTCTCTGGAATTTCAGTTCCCTTTTTTGCCGGATTTTTCCACGCGTGCACGCACACATCAACATCGTCGGCGACGAACGCGTCAACGCGAGAATGGAAAACTGCTCTGTCGATATATCGGGGAATATAAATTTTCCTTTGTCTTTCGAGTGGTTGCGTATGACACTGCATCGGGCACGTTTGTCGCATGACACGCCACGTGTGCCAGCGCCAAACTCGTCGCCGACCAAACAATGAATTAAGCTTTATGTCCCTCGCACTTGAGCCACGGATAAAAGCTCGTTCAATATAAGATTTGTAAATAACGCGTGCCCGCATCCCGAGCAAATCCCTCGGAGGAGTTAATACTTTCTCCTAGCCTTTAACGCTACAAACAATCTTTTTAACGTTACCGGGAGAAGTCTCTTGGTTAAAGCAAACATCCCGGCGTTCAACCAAATTAACGAATAATCAGGTTCCCGCATCTTTTTCACCACTCGCGTTTAAAATCCCCGTGTTTAACTCTATGTAGAAAAAAAAAGAACACCCCCCCTGGAAAAATGTGCTCACGTTTTCCATCCGAGCTACCCCTCTTCCATCCGAGCCATCCCATTCTCCGTTCCAGCGGCGAGTTCCATAATCCGTTAATCACGGTAGACGCGGAAGAGGGTAGGAAACAGGCGCGTAATCTAAGAAAAGGCGTCGGAGCATTGGCGTCAGTAGAAAGTGGTTGTAAGTGAATGAAAGTGGATGCAAAGGTGGAGGTGTGGTTGCTACGAGGTCGTCTGCCTGGCAAAGCTGGCATGATCCGCCACAGAAGACAGAGGTTTGTCTGTCTTTATCAGCCAGCCAGGTAGAGCCCTCGAAGCCAGCTACGCGTCTCTACCATCGCCACCCCTCAGGAAAAGCCCGCAGGGTGACGGACGCCCACGATTGGCGTGGCTTCCTCGAACGAGGGAGGACATCGTGCACCCCTATTGGCTCTTCACGAATCCATACTCGGTATTCATTCGCCGGCTCATTCGTCGACCTCTCGATCCGAGCCTCTCTCTTCCTCCCTATCTTTCCTTTCTTTTCCAACCCCTGCCGGTGTCGAGGCTCGATGCAACTCACCCTTCGCACACCGTCACGGGGATCTTTTCAATGCATTTCACCGCCAGCTTTCACCTTTCGCCGGATATTTCTAAGTAAATATTTTTTTAATAAGCACGCGTACCACTCGGTTGATCGTTACCATCGTCTCGATGCTGGTACCTCACACTGGCAAGTTTCTTCCGGTGCTTTTAATTTCTGAAAATTGTGTCTTCCCTTCCTTCCTTTTTTTTTTTTCTTCTTCTTTTGGAAATGCCGAGATGGAATCTGTTGAATTTGAAAAAGTTGAGTTTAAACAATCCGAGGAATGAGATTTACGCGCGTTCGAAAACCACCCCCAATCAACGACGCTAAGGCACAGGCGCTTAATCAGGGTATTAGTACGAAGGAATTCCATTTTTGAATACAGTTCAGTGCTCATCTCTCGAGAAGGTAGAATGATGGAATCGTAATCCCAGCGAGGTTGACCAGGAGTGTGTGTGTGTGTGTGTGAGAAAGAGAGAGAGAGAGAGAAGGATCGATGAAGAGTGTCGAACACGAGCAAGGAAGCTTGGTCGTCGTCGTTCGCCTGCACTTTTAACGTCGTCGCGCTTCGTGTCGCCTTCGTCCCAATTGAATGAGAAAAAAGAGAAAGAAAAGGGGGAGAAAAAGGTGGCCTGGCTGTAGCCGGAGAGGAAAAGACGAACGATAGCATAGGACAGAGTGAAACAGGGATGGAGCATTCCTTGGGGTGTTGCAGCCTATGATCATGCAACGAGATGGGCGGGTTTTTAGGTTGTTCTTTGCTCCGCCCCTGGTACCGCCCCATTGGTGGTTGCTGCTACCTTCAACTCGTGACCTCCCTTCACCCTTCTGTCTGCAGCTGAAACCTTGGTTGGTTTCGCCAGCAGCCACCGCACACACGTCAGCAGCGGCAAACACGGCGCCTCCAACGGCCAACGGATCGTTCGTGATCTCCGTCGATCATCTGCCCAGGTATCAGCGATCAACGCATTTCCACGAAATCGCGAGGGTAGTTTCTGGTTAGAGAATCGAGGAAGCCCTGAAGTGAGATCTGTCGTGTGCCCGGGGTTCGCTATGAGATTACGGGACGGATGGTGAGAACGACATCCGGCCGCTGAACGCGCGAGCCTTTCGTCGTCGGCAGTGTTGTTTCGGCAAAAACAACTTTAGGAAGATGCGGACGTCGTAGAAGACAGTGACGAATTGTAGGAACGAACATTTCCGATTGGCAGAACCGAGTGGATACGACGATCAACCGGATCGGCATTTGGTTGCTCCGAAATCTAAACTTTGGATCTGTTGTTCCACAGGAGGAACAACTCGTTGAACGGAATGAAAAAGTTCAAGATGCATCTTTAGATACAGCACCTTCGTTGTATCTAAGATTATCAGGTTCGTAGAAGCTCGATTCGTCGACGTGATGAGCGTGAATCCAACGGAGGAACAGGAAATATCAATTTGTTGAGAGGTTCAGTGTCAAGAGTCCCTGTGACAATGGCGCGCAATCGAAAATCGAAGCGAAAGGATTAATCGCGAGTTTCCGATAATGTCGACGGCCAATTTGAAAGACTCTTTGCTAGTAGATACCGACCTGTCGAAGGCCGTCGCGTATCATTACGAGCATGGATGCCTCTTTAAACTAGTGATTCAGAAGAAATTGTTTCCGGTCCTGCAATGTTACAATAGAAGAACGAACTGCAAGATCAAGTAGAATCGAAGCTGATGCTGCAACTTCGTCAGGAGGTTTAAACTTTGCTTTTGGAGTCCAGTCTCGGTGAAAGTGTTCAGGATTATCGGAGGACTGGAACGTGTTCAGATCACAGAACTGGGCTTGAACGAGCCACTGGTAAATTCTGTAAGTAATTAATCTATTTCCGCTCGTAATATAAATTTGTACCCTTTAAAAATTCATCCCGCCTAAATTCAATCAAGTAGAGTTTCGAATATCGGTTGTCACAGACAATTATCTTTAAAAGAGAATCGTAAAATACCGTATTATACGCACCCAGATTTCTTCGAAACAGTAGGCACAAAATCTGATAATTGAGGGAGGATCACGATACGAATGACTTGGCACAATTAGCCAGATTTTATAAGTGGATGAAATGGAGGAATCTCCTCTCTTCAAGGTGGTAACTAAATGGATTAAAACGGCCGTCGCGTTCGAACAGCTTCTCGTGTTAGCATCGTACAAGTATGCGTAACTCTCCATTGCGAGAAAATTTTTTTCTCTAGAGACACGTGAAACACCTCTAGCGTACGATTATTATTTTGTTAAACTCCGACAAATGATAATAAAACAAAAAACCATACAACAGTCTGTTGTAAACGCGCCCAATAAACAGCTACAAAAATCAATCAGAAGTACCTACTCAAAAATACGGAAAAATCCAAGACACAAAACCGTATCACCATGGTTCCCGTCCGATTCCCATTCGGGATAAGCGTCGGATCGACGAAACGCGGCGGAGATCAAAGTCCATTTTCGATACGTTTTCAATGCGAACGGTAACATGTATCGTCGAGAGAAAACGACATATGTAGAGTATAAGGTTTTTTTTTTTGGTCGCTGACGAGACCCTCTTTAAGAAAGAAACCACCCTGTATGGGTACCGTGACGCATTAATCGACCAGCGGCCGTACAAGTGGCACTGGAAATTAGCGAACAATTAGCTCGCCCGGTTTATGTTTTCTAAACAAGCGCGGCCGATCGACGGCCCATTATTTCGAAGCATTCGTGCAACGCGCCTATCAAGCCTACCAACTTACCTACCTACCTACCTCGAACGTGTACGCAAGCTTTTACCTAAGTGGCTCGGGGTTTGAGTGTGTCCGAAGTATTCGAGCAGTATTCGAGCGTGGTAGTACTTAGGCTTTTCGAGTATCACGAGCTCGAAAAGAGGAACACGTTGGAGGGGCCTCGGAGAAGGGGTCTTGTAGTGTTTCGTTGCGCTTAAAAGGAGGGGGTTTTACGGAGAGGGTTTCGCTGCAAGGCAGCTTTGGTGTTGCAGCCTCTTCAAACCTCGTGCAAACACTCGGGGATAGGGCGTTCGCCTGGTACGACGATTAATATCCCAATAAGGCCTCGTTCACAGGGCTCACTCGACCAAGCTGCTTCGTTCTTTATTCATTGTATCGTAGCTCCTCCCGCGGGATAAACTGCCCGATACCGGGGCGGTTCCGTCACTTTTCTTTTTTTCCTTCGTCAGTTTCCTCGGGGTTTTCTTCTCTTTTAACCGAGGGATGCTAGACACGGCGTGTCTTTTTCGCGCGTCGCATGTGCGTGAATTGATTACTACTTCTCGCGCGCTAGGACTTCGTTTACGTGAACTCAGTTTATTTGAAAGAAAATTTTACTGACGGTTCGAGCCTGAATGGACGTTTTGCTGATGGAATTCGCATCACGTATAAAGTTCCACTGTATTTCGAATCGAGTTGTTTGAAAGCCACGTCGATTGATCAGCGAATGAATGAAGTTGATCAGTTTGACGGAATGAAAACAGAGTTTGTTTCCTATAAGTCTATAAAAAGAGAATTAACATTTTGTAAAAAGAGATCGGGTTTTGTATTCGAGGCGATCGCAGTTGCGCGATGAGACTTCAAAAAGAAAGGGAGAAAGAAAGAAAGAAGAAATTTCATTTCATTACGTCAAATTTGGCGCAGCTGACCAGCAAATTTTACAGCGGGCCACGCGATTAGCATAGCTATCACGCGCGCGGTGTATGTCATTTATTCGCCAAAGACCACAGGCTGAAACGTAACTATACGGTAATTGCCGATCAGACCGCTGAGATGTGGCCACGTATCCCGTGGATAACACAGAGATATCGCTTTATTAGTCGATCCCGTTTACGCCCGATGCCTTTTAAGTGTTCCACGTTAAACGTCGCAGTTTTATTGACAAAGATAAATCTGTCACTGAAAATTCCTCGTTATTCCGGCAATATGTGCTGTTAGTTATCAAGTAATGAAAGATTAGCGGAAAGGGGAAGTTGTTTGAACTTAATGGATTATAAACAATGAAATAACGCTCGTAAATTAACCCAGAGGTTATTGCTCTTCTAATTGACTGCTTCTCAATGTTCCTTCCACGAATAATTTTTAAGGAATAAAAATTCACATCGTGAGAAAAAGAGAAAGAGAGAGGGGAGAAAGTTCAACCAATATCCTCGCTCCGTAAATATTTGAGATAAGAAGAAATAGAGATAACTTGGGGTAGATGCTACTCGAATCCGAGGGAATTCGTACATTTTCCTTCTCTTTTTCATTTTATTTTTCTGCGCTCTGGATGCTGGAGTCTCGGGGCATTATTACGCTACTTGATTTCGCATCGCGCCAGCTGTCTCCGATTATTCACCATAGAAATTTTGGGGGATTCGAGTTCAAAGGGGACCCCGCGGTCCTGCGCTAATATTTGAGGAGGCCCCCTGTATATCTTGGGTCTTACCGGACGTTAAGCTCTAGCTTCTGTTGTACTCTTCGACATTCTTTGCCTTTTTGCTCGACGTTACAAATTTGTCGGACATCTTCTTTATAGAGTGGCAATGCTATCTCGACGCTTTTCGCATCCTTTTCCCTCTATCACATCTGGCTGGAAAAGTTGGGCAACGAACTATCATCGCTCGACAGCCATGAAACTTCGCCTCGGAACTTTAAAATTCGTTACGCGTTGTCGAAATATCTTTTATCGCTAGATTCCAACAAGAGACATCAGGGACTGGAAGATCACGCGAGCAAACCCAAGTATTTTAAGTATCCGAACAACAAGGGTTGAATCGTTGGCAAATATAGATTTCGAAATTCCCTCTCACTTGTCAAGGTACTTTCTTCTTGCTTAAATTTCCTTTAAATTTCCTCCCTTCGTTCAGAGAATCGTCCGTCGCGTATCTACGTCAAAATTCAAACCGAATAAGAAAGATCAATTTTCTCGATATTGAGAGGACAATGGACGATTCTCTTGCACCGGTCTTGGTGGAATATTTCACGGATGCGCCAAAGGTTTCTCGTGGCAGGCTCTGTTTTAAACGATCCACGAGCCGGAGACCACCCCTTCCGCCTGTTTTCCTCCCTTCTCTCCCCGTGAGCCCGTCTCGCGCCAAGAATCAGCGATAGTTAGCCAGATAGCACTCGCAGCGTTACAGGGCTTGCACCGTAGCGGGTGGATGTCGGTTATACCTGTACACCCTTTCGTGTCTTGGTATCTTCCCTCTGTGTTGGGCGCCGTGCGTGAACACGTACGACGATATCTGCCTTTAGAAATACGTGTTGGTGTGCATCGTAGGTTAGTCATTCGCACGGTACACGAGCACCTTTACGCGCATCGAATACACGTACATGCAAGACGTTATCTACCCTCTCGAGTTTCGCGTGGGTGTATGAGTGCGTAGGTGTGCGGCGTGTGCAGTACGTGTGGCCGCGAGGTCGAGGAGGATGGGGCTAAAGGTGGTTGGTATCTTGTTGGAGGGCGAGAAATACGAGCCGGCCACGAAGCTCTTCCAGAGGCTTGCGTGCACACGCCGATCGAGCTGCAACGAAGGAAGATAGACAGAGGGTGAAAAGGAAGGGATGGAGCGTAGCCGGGGGGTTGCTCCGCCTGTTCGCACCCCCTTTTCGCTGTGCTCTTTAAAAAATTAGCTTCTCGATGCGAGCGCCAGCCGACACCGCGCTTGCGGCTTTTTATCTTGTCGCGGTGCTTTCTTGTTGCTGGCCAGTCGCGGCTAGCGTGACTGCATTTTTTTCGCTGGTAATTTACGCGCGATGAAACAATCGGAGAATCTGTATACTACTGCTGTAGTATCTCGTCTGGAATGTGCGTAGTTTTTTTGTCCAGTTTGGAGAATTAAGTGGCAAAGATTAGAATTTTGGTGGATACAGCGGAGATAACGATTCGAGGGAAATTTGTTTAAACGTGATTAACAGCTTGTTAACATTTTTCTGCGCGATAATTTTTCCAACGTGGAATTAAGATATGACGAAGAGCAAATGAATTATCCAAGAACGAGATTGCTCGAGCATTCTTCCGGCGACTTTATTTACTTATTTATTTTCTCTTTTTTAATTCGTGCACGTGTAAACGCGTCAAGGAGCACGTACGAAGGTGCGCGATTGGCGTTACGAAACGGGCGCGCACTGTGGACGCAATAAATCAAGATAAAGTTATGATAAACAAATTAGTCGGCGCTGCCACCCCTCACCGGTGTTATTGTCTATCGTATATCTACCTACAAATTACCAGCCGTCCCGAACACCTCGGGGTAACTGCTACTCGCAAGTCCTGCGCTTGTTTGTGCGGTGGTCACACGTACGGGGGTTGAAGGAAATTCGAGGGGTAACTCGAAATTAATGCACCACTTCCTCTTTCGACGTAACCTCGAATTGCAGCGTACCAACGTGCCCTTTATTTATTCGATGATCCCAGCCCGAACTCTTGTTCGAGCTCCTTCAGAGATAGACCTCCTCGATTCTACCAACGATATTTTCAATCGACCCGGTTCATCGAATTAAATTCGTTGAATCGAATTCGATTCTCCTATTCGTTCTCGCAGTTTGTCGAACATTTTTCCCTTCATTTTGTTTTGTTTTTTTTTTTCCTTTCTTTTTTCGATCTCCATGCAAACCACACGCTAGCTGCAAAAGGTAACGAATCGTGGAAGCAACGCGTGTGCCGTTCCTCCGTGATTTCGAGTGGAGTGGTATCGAATCGGTCGTTCCGGGGAAAAAAACAGAAAAAGAAAAAAAAAAAAGAAAAACAAAAAATTCAGCGAGATCAATTTAATTCGATTCTGCGCGTGGCACGATCCTGTGTATTCAGCGTGCTCGCGAAAAGCGAGGATCTGCCACGCGGTTCGGTTCGTT